TTGAGAAAAATACCTCAGTTGTTTCGGTGATGGGGAAAACATCATTCAATTGTGTGTAAGAGCACTTCTGGACATAATAGAAGAAAAACAAATGAAAAAGGGCATGTAGGAGGTGGTGGTGCTAGTGTAGTGGTAATGTCATTTCTCTAGTAATCTGGAACACCAATAAATACTCTGGGGGCAAGAGTTCAAATTGCATCATTACAGTTGATGATATTTGAATTCAGTAACATTCTGGACAAAGACATGTAAGTCCAAATTGCATACTTAAGAAATACTTTGCATTTTTGTTTTTCACACCAAAGTAGATAACTTTGCATCTTACCGTGTAATGTTTTACGTGCCAATTTCTTGCCCACTCACTGAGATTGTCTAACCCCCTTGAAGCCTCTTTGCATCCTCATCGCGACGCAGATTCTCAGCTGTCAATACAGTGTGGAGCTGGAAGAACACAGCGGGTCAGACAGAGGAACAGGAAAGTCGACATTTCGGGTTTACACCCTTCATCCTGTCTAGGGAGGGAGGAAGGGAGCTGGGAAATAAATAGAGGGAGGAGGGGTGGAGCTGGCAGAAGGTAAGTGGGATGGTGATAGGTGGATGCACGTAGGGGGCAGCGGGGATTGGTCAATGGAAAGGGTGGGCTGCATAGTTGGGAAAGAAGATGGACAGGTAGTGTCAGGTCAAGGAGGCGGGGATGAGAGGGAGGGTTGGACATGGGATGAGGCCAGGGGTGGGGAGATTTTGAAACTGGTGAATTCTATGTTGAGGCCATTGAGCTGTAGGCTCCTAAAGCGAAATATGAGGTGTTGCTCCTCCAGTTTGCGTGTGGCGTCATCGTGACACTGAAGGAGACCCAAGATGGACATATCAACCAAGGAAGTGGGAGAGGAGGTAAAATGGTTGACAACCAGAAGGTGCTGTTGATTATAGAGTACAGAGCGCAGATTCTCACCTGGTTTTGTGTCATCAGCAATCCTGGAAATATTACATTTGACTGCCATGTCAAAATCAATGATATAAATGTGAATTGCCGGGTCACTAGCTCTGCTCTAGTAATACAATACTAGTAAAGTCTAGCAACCTGAAAATGACTCAGTTCTTTCTAGTCTGTTCCCACATACTTTCTGCATGTTAACTGTTTCTCAATCAATGCCAAGGTACAATCCCCAATCCCATGTGCTCTAATTTGGCTTCCTAACCTCCTGCTTGGGACTTTATTGAAAGGATTCTGAAAGTCCAAATGCATCTCACCTATTGGATTCCATTTTCTATTCTGCTCGTTACATCCTCAAATAACTCTGACAGGTTTGTCAAACAGGATTTCTCTTTCATAAGTCCAAGTTGACTCGGCTATTCCAATTCTTGTTTTCTAAATTTCTACTTATCAAATCCTTTTGTAATAGATTCTAGCAATTTCCTGCAACTTCATTCTTGTCACCTCCTCAAAAAGCTCAATCAAGTTGGTGAGACATGACCTTCCCCACACAAACTCATGCTGTCTACCACGAACAAGTCCATTCATTTCCAAATGTGAATACACCCTGTCTTTCAGGATTCTTCTCCAAAAGCTTCCCCATCACTGACGCCAGCCTCACCAGGCTGTATTTATCTGGATTATTTCCATTTCCCTTCTTAAACAAGGGAACAACACTGGCCATTCTCAAGTCCTCTGGAACTTCGCCTGAGGCCAACAAGGATACAAAGAGACAAAAAAAACTGCAGATGCTGAAATCCAAGCTAAACAAACAGGAAACTGACAGAACACAGCAAGCCCCACTTCCCCCCCAACTTCCCCTCCAAACATAATGAAGATAGTGTCCCCCTCCTCACTTTCCACCCCACCAATCTCTGCATCCAACGTATCATTCTCAGACACATCCGCCAAATCCAATTAGACCCCATTACCCGGAACATCTTCTACTCCCCAACCTCTCTGCCTTCCACAAGGACCATTCCCTCCACCACTCCTTAGTTCGTGCCACACTCCTCACCAACCACTCCAACCCGCCCAGTACCTTCCCCTGTAGCCATAAAAGATGCAACACCTGCCCACACACCACCTCCCTCACCTGCATCCAGGGCCCGAAACAGTCCTTCCAGGTGAGACAGAGTTTCACCTACATCTCCTCCAATCTAGTCTATTGCATCCGGTGCTCCCAATGTGGCCTTCTCTACGTCGGTGAGACCAAATGTAGAAATTCGGTGACCATTTCGCCGAGCATCTTCGCCTGGCCCGTACTGGCCAACCTAACCTCCTGGTCACTGCCCATTTCAACTCCCCATCTTACTCTCCCTCTGACATGTCCGTCCTCAGCCTCTTCCAGTGTTGCAGCAACTTGGAACGCAAATTTGAAGAGCAACACCTTATGCCTGGGCACCCTGCAGCCGGGAAGACTCAACATCGAGTCCTGTAATTGCAAATAACCGTCCCACCTATTCCCCGGCTCCCTTTCCAGCCCCACCTCCTCCCTTCAATTCGACCTTCTGGCCCTCCCTTGCAGTCACCAAACGGATTCATTCCCTCCCATCGACCAGCCAGGTCATACCTACCATCAGTGTCCACCTATCACCACCATTCTACTAGCACCCCTCCCCCCCAATTTATCTGCAGCTCCCCCTGCTCTGACATCCAGTCCTGAAGAAAGGTAATACCTGAAACGTTGACTTCTCCTTTCCTCCACAGGCTGCAAAGAAATCTGTTAAGGCCCCACATATTTCCTTCCTTGCCTCCCACGGTATCCTGGGATAGATCGTGTCTGGCCTGTGGATTTGTCTACCTTAATGTATTTCAAGATACCATCAATTCCCCTTCATTATGTGGACATACCCAAGAGTATTCACATGCCTTTTCCTAAACTCAACAGCCCTCACATCCCTCTCTTTGGTGAATACCAATGTAAAGGACTTTATCCCACTTTATCCTTGAGTGGGAGTATGCTTTCCCCAGCTACCCCTCTTGCTCCTGATAAATGTATAAAATGCCTTGGGATTCTCTTTAAACCTGCTGGTCAGGGATATTTCCTGGCCCCTCTTAACCCTCCTAACTCTCCATTTGAGCTCCTTCCTACGTTCTCTATATTCTTCAAGGACTCTGTCTGTTTATAGTTGCCTGTACCTTAGGGATGCTTCCTTTTAGTTTTGACTCAGCTGATAATTCACCTGTCATTCAATCTTGAATCCTGCCATTATTTACTTTCATTTTCACAGGAACATGCCTGTCCTGCACTCTAAACAACTGGTCCTTCAAAGACTCCCAGATGTCAGATGTGGATTTACCATCAAACAGCTGCTCCAAATCCACATTCTCCGATTTTTGACTAATTCAGTTATAGTTGGCTTTCCTCAATTTAATACCTTCATCCGAGGTGCATGCTTGTCTTTATCCATAAGTATCCGAAAACATACAGAATTATGGTCACTATTCCCAAAATGCTCCCCGACTGAAACTTTGATAACCTCACCAGGCTCATTTCCCAATATCAGGTCCAGTATGACCCCCTCCCTCATTTAACTATCTACATACTGTTTCAAAACATCCTCCTGGATACACCTAACAAATTGCTCCCTGATATAATGGAGTCCCAGTCAATATGGGCAAAGTTAAAATCACCCACCAAAAGACCTATGTTTTTTTCACATCTTTCCAGAATCTGACTACATATCTCTTGCTCTATCTTCTGCTGGCAGCTAGGAGGTCTGTAGTACAATCACAGCATTGTGATTGCACCCTTCCTATTCCTGAGCTCTACCTATAATGCCTCACAGCAAGATTCCTCTGGGGTGTCCTCCCTTAACACAGCTATGATGTGCTCCCTAACCTGTAATGCGACTCCCCCACCTCTTTTGTTTCCTCCTCCGTCTTGTCTAAAACATTGATATCATGGAACATTAAGCTGCCAATCCTATCCCTCTTTCAACCAAGTCTCTGAGATTGCAACAACATTATAATTGCATGCATTTATCCTGGCTCTAATTTCATCCATCTTACCTGTTATACTTCTCACATTGAAGCAAATAAAGTCTAAGCTTTCGGTTCCACTGAGCACAGCAACCTCTCCCTGACTGCTCTTTCTCTTAGTTATATTTGCCTTAGTCTCAAGCCCTTCCCTAGTCTCTATACTAAGTTACCTGCTGCTGTGATTGGCACCCTACTGCCACACTAATTTAAACCCGAGTGGCACTAGCAAACCTTCCTGCCAGGATATTGGTGCACCTCCAGGTTAGGTGCAAAACATCCTTCTTGTATAGGTCCCACCTTCCCTGGAAGACATCCTAGTGGTCCACATATCTGAAGCCCTCCCCTTTACACAAGCTCTGTTCCTAGCCTCAATAGCATGTGGCATGTGGAGTAATCCTGAGATTACTACACCAGAGGTTCTGCTTTTTAGTTTACTCCCTAACTCCCTGAATTGTTGTTGCAGGACCTTGGAAATTTGTCACTAGATATAGGCCATCATAGCTTGCTTAGGGAATACAGTATTGAGGATTCTTCCAGAAGCACTTCAGCAAGACAGCAAAGATTCAGACTAGACCTGGTCTCCAGATAACGTTCTGGACCCACCTCTAAAGGTTTTTGAGAAAATGGAGAGCTTGGTTAGGAAGCTGATTTCCTTCCCCAGGTCAACCACCAACTGAAAAATAACATAATCTTCAAATTAGAAGCTTCAAACTGACAGTCATAATCCCAAGCAGAGGATTTGCAATAAACAAGCATTCCACCACAGTTCATGAGACTTTCAGGAAATGTCTTATTAAAAAAACATGTTAATTTCCTGCTGTTGACATATTAAAAAAAATCCAGATACCCATAATCTTCCATAAAATTTAATAAATATGAAGAGTCTTCATAACAGAATACTGTCTACTATGCGTCTGCATGGGTTTTTCCAAATGCATGACTTCATATTTGTATAACTACGTGCAGGAATTTATGTGCATTATTGTCAGTAAGTATTCAAAACTTGTCAATATTTGAAACATCGATTAATTCTGTTTTACAGGTTTGGTAGAAAGGCAGTTCTGTTTGGGACCATGGCTGTACAGACTAGCTTCAATGTACTTCAAGTATTCTCATCATCTTGGGAAATATTCTGCCTGGTGAATTTCCTTATAGGTATCGGACAAATCTCAAACTATGTGGCTGCTTTTGTTCTGGGTGAGTGTCTAAACCATCCTATAATACAATACAGCACAGGAACAGGCCCTTTGGCCCACCATGCCTTCGCCAATTCCTAGTCCTTATTTGGACCTGCTAGTTATTGTCCATACGTGGTTTCTATCCCTCTGTTTGCCTCCCATTCATGTGTCTATCAAGATACACCTTAAACATTGCTAACTGCTTGCTCCCACCACCTCCATTGGCAGTGTGCTCCAGGCACCCACCACCCTCTATGTGAAAGATTTTCACTGCATTCCTCCCCTAAATTTCTCTCTCTCACCTTGAACCTGTGCCCTCTTGTAACTGACCTTTACACCCTGGGGAAAAGCCACTGACTATCCACCCTACCTATGCCTCTCATAATTTTGTAGACCTTTAACAGGCCACCCCTTAGCCTCTGACTTTCCAGTGAAAACAATCAAGAGTTTATCCAACCTCTCCACATAACTGAAACCCTCCAGATCAGGCAACATCCTGGTAAATCTTCTCTGCACCCTTTCCAAAGCATCCACATCTTTCTGGGTCATGTGGCAACCAGAACTGCATGCAATATTCCAAATGCAGCCTGACTAAAGTTTTGTACAGCTGTAACATAACTTACCAACTTTTATATTTGATACCCTAGCCAATTAAGGCAAGCCTACAGTATTCCTTCTTGACCACTTATTGACCTGTGTTGCCGTTTTCAGGGATCTGTGGTCCTTGATGCCCAGATCCCTCTGTATGTCAATGCTCCTAAGGTTTCTGGCATTTATTGTATAATTTGCACCTGAATTTGATCTTCCAAAATGCATCACCTCGCATTTGTCCTGATTAAACTCCACCTGCTGTTGCTCTAACCATATCTGCAATCTATCTGTATCCTGCTGTATCCTTTGACAATCCTCCTCAATATCTGCAATTCCACCAATTTTGGTGTCATCCATAAACCTACTAATCATACCACCCACATCTTCCTCCACATCATTTATATATATATTACAAACAACAAAGATAGCAGCACTGATCCCTGTGGAACACCTCAAGTTAATTATCTCCATTATGAAAAACAACCTTCCACCCCACCTCTCTATACCAAGCCAGTTCTGTTATCCATATAGCCAGCTCACCTAGGATTCTATGAGACTCTACTCTTTATACTAGCCTGCCCTGAGCTACCTTATCAAATACCTTACTAAAGATCATATAGACAACATCCACTGCCCCTCCCTCATCAATCATTCTTGTCACATCCTCAAAATACTCAATCAGGTTAGTGAGACATGACCTTCCCTGCACAAACCCATGCTGCCTATCACTAACAAGTCTATTCGCTTCCAAATGTGAACAAATCCTGTCCCTCAGTATCTTCTTCAACAGCTTCCCCACCACTGACACCAGGCTCACCAATCTGTGATAACCTGGATTATCTCTGTTTCCCTTCTTAAACAAAGGAACAACATTGGCCATTCTCCAGTCCTCTGGAACCACACTTGAGGCCAAAGAGGGTGCAAAGATATCTGTTAAGACCCCTACACTTTCCTCCCTCGTCTCCCTGAGCCTATCCTGGGATAGATCCCATCTGGCCCTCTACATTAATGTATTTCAAGACACTCAACACTTGCTCTTCATTATGCTGATCTGCCTGAGAGTATTCACACACCTTTCCCTAACCTCAACATCCATCTTGTCCCTCTCTTTATTGAATACCAATGTGAAGTACTCATTAAAGATCTCACCCATTTCCTCTGGCTTTACACAAAGCCTCCCTTTGTTATCCTTCAACGAACCTACTCTTTCCCTAGCTATCCTCATGCTCCTAACATTTGGATAAAATACCTTGGAAAGAAGAGGGATAGAGGAGAGGATAGGTGGAGAGGAAACAAACAGGTCGAAGAGGTGGGGATGGAGCCAGTAAAGGTGAGTGTAGGTGGGGAGTTAGGGAGGGGATAGGTCAGTCTAGGGAGGACGGACAGGTCAAGGGGGCGGGATGAGGTTAGTAGGTAGGAGATGCGGGTGGGGCTTGAGGTGGGAGGAGGGGATAGGTGGGAGGAAGAACAGGTTAGGGAGGCGGGGACGAGCTGGACTGGTTTTGGGATGCGGTAGGGGGAGGGGAGATTTTGAAGCTTGTGAAATCCACATTGATACCATTGGGCTGCAGGGTTCCCAAGCGGAATATGAGTTGCTGTTCCTGCAACCTTCGGGTGGCATCATTGTGGCACTGCAGGAGGCCCAGGATGGACATGTCGTCTGAGGAATGGAAGGGGGGAGTTGAAATGGTTCGCGACTGGGAGGTGCAGTTGTTTATTGCGAACCGAGCGTAGGTGTTCTGCAAAGCGGTCCCCGAGCCTCCGCTTGGTTTCCCCGATGTAGAGGAGGCCACAACAGGTACAGCGGATGCAGTATACCACATTGGCAGATGTTTTCACATCTTTCTAGAATCAAACTACGTATCTTTTCCTCTAACTCCTGCTGGCAGCTGGGAAGTCTGTTTTACAATCCCAGCATTGTGATTGCACCCTTCCTATTCCTGAGCTCTACCCATAATGCCACGCTGCAAGATCCTTCCCTCAACACACCTATGATGTGCTCTCAAGCCAGTAACACAACACCCTCAACCTCCTTTGCTTCTTTCTCTGTCTTGTCTTAAACACCAAGATCTCAGAACATTACACTGCCAACCTCTTTCAACCATGTTTCAACATCATAGTTGCATTAATCCAAGGTCTAATTTAACCTGTTTTACCTGTTATGTTTCTTACATTGAATCAAGCACATTCTGAGCCTGCAATTCCGCTGAGCTCAGCAACCTCTCCCTCACTGCTCTACCTCTTAGCTATATTTGCCCAAGCTTCAAGCTCTTCTCCAAGTCGTTATATTTACTTGCTGCTCCAGTTCCCAGTCTTGCTAAGAGGTTCCAAATTTTGCCCGTTTCCATATTAGAATGTACCACAGCTAGCACAGCATAAATCAGCCACTCAGCACAAAAATGTTAGTACATTCACAATATTTAGCTGTGGGGTGGGGATAGCAGAACATTGAAATGTCGTGGTTGAGTCAATTGGTACATTGCACGCACTATTTTATAATCAACAGCATAGTCATCAAAGGCTCTTGAAGCATCTGCTCAGCAAGACGTGTATAACTGTCAGCAATGCAAGATCTATATTTAATATAACAGATGTTGAGAATCTCCAAAGTCAATGTGTCAGAAGCATACTATTCCAAAACAGAATATTCCTTACCGTGGAGCCTATATATAACAGACAAGAGTCTCAAAAGTTCAAAATATAATTCTCATCCTTTACTTCAGTTCAGAGGTTTTGGTATGTGAAATATGTTTATAGTGCAATTTATGGATTGCAGTCCAGCACTATTGAAAACTATAACATTACTAAAATGGTCAAACCTCAAATTAGATCCCTTTCTCTTTAGATATCAGGATTCGGGAACCTCAGTAGATGAGAGATGTCTTAAGTTTAGTAAAAAAGAAAAAGGAGGCATATGCAAGGTTTAGGAATCAGAAATCAAACAAGGCCTGTGAGGAATATAAAGGAAGCAGGAAAGAACTTAAAGAAGAAATTAGGAGAACTAGAAGGAGCCATGAAATACCCTAGGCAAATAGGATTAGGGAGAATCCAAAGGCATTTTACACATATATTAGGAACAAAAGGGTCATGACGAGAAGGATAGGTCCAGTCAAGGAAAAAGGAGGGAATTTATATATGGAGCCAGAGGAAGTGGCTGAGGTTCTTACTGAGTACTTCGCATCAGTATTCACTAAGGAGAAAGAAATGGATGATGGTAAGTTTAGAGAGGGGTTTGTTGATGCTCTGGGGCAAATCAATATTTAGAAGGGAGAGGTGTTCGGTGGCATGAAGAAGGTAGGTAAGTTCACAGGGCGTGATGGGATCTATTCCAGGACATTGAAGGAGGCCAGGGAAGAGATCGCTAAGATCTTGACAGAGATCACTGTAATCTCTTTAGCCACAGGCGAGGTTCCAAAAGACTGAAGAATAACCAATGTTGTTCCTTTGTTGAAAAACGACAATAGGGATAATCCAGGATATTATAAGCCAGTGAGCCTTATATCAGTGGTAGGGAAATTATTGGAAAAAATTCTTAGGGATAGGATTTACTTGTATTTGGAGAAGAATAGACTTATTAGGGACAGTCAGCGTGGCATTACGTGGGGAAGGGATTATCTCACAAACTTGATTGAGTCTTTTTGAGTGAGTACCAAAGATAATTGATGAGGATAAGGCAGTGGACATTATCTACATGGAACTTACTAAAGCATTTGACAAGATCCCTCATGTTAGCTGGTCCAGAAGAGTGGTGAGTTGGCAAGTTGGATACAAATTGTCTTGGCCGTAGAAGACAGAGAATAGTTGTGGAGGGATGTTTTTCTGACTGGAGGTCTGTGACTAGTGGTGTTCCACAACGATCAGTGTGGGACCTCTGTTGTTTGTAATATATGTAAATGATTTGAATGAATGTATCAATGGTCTGATTATTAAGTCTGCAGATTACAAACATTTGATGGACTTGTGGAGAGTGCAGTAGTTATCAAAGGATGCAGCAGGATATAGATCAGCTGGTAAGTTGGGTGGAGAAATGGCAGATGGAGTTTAAGCCAGACAAGTGTGAGATGAAGCATTTTGGGAACTCAAATGCAAGAGGAAAGGATACTGTACATGCTGTACCCTTAGGAGCATTAATATGCAGAGGGATCTTGGGGTCCAAATCCATAGTTCCCTGGAAGTGGCAACACAAGTTGATAGGGAAGGCACATGGCATGCTTGCCTTAATTAGGCGGGGAATTGTCTATAAAAATTGGCACATCATGCTGCAAATGTATAAGACTTTGGTCAGGCTGTGTTTAAAGTACTGTGTACAGTACTGGTTACCACATTATTGGAAGATTGTTAAGGCTTTGGAGAGAGTGCAAAAGAGGTTTTTCAGAATGTTGCCTGGATTGGAGTGTATTAGATGTAAGGAGAGGTTGGACAAACTTG